AAAAAAAATCGACCGACCGACCCAATTTTTTGATTCCATGTAATGCAAAACGAAAAATCAACTTTGCGTGGCCTAATCGATGATCGTCAAAGACAAAACGAAATATCGCAACGAGGAAACAAAACGAAAAAAGAATATATTAATCTGACTTTGGAAATTTGAATATGCAAGTATTACATTGCAACACAGATTCAAGAAATGCAGTTGCAAACATATGTAACTCGAGGTTGTATTTACCAAATATGGATTGGGAAATATCAAAGATAAGTTTACCGAATAATAAATGTGTTGCTAAATTTGATTAAGAAACATAAATAAAAATATTTTACTCGTGTATTGGATTCTTTGATCGACGTAATTTAGCCAATCACAAAATTATACAAATGGTTAGGATGGTTAGGGTACTAGATTCAAGCCACGGCTCAGGCTGATAACTACACTATCAAGTTTAAATTAAATTTTTATTAACATTAATGCCAAATGCAAAAAATCAAAATATTAATATTTAATACAGTATGAGAAGCTTGTCAACGAAGTGACGAAGTGATCATTATTGCGAGATCAGATGACTTAATGGTACGTAGAATATATGCAAATATATGTGTATCCTTTTATGGCGTAAGCGTGTTTTATTTTTTGAACGTACCTTGTTTATATAACAGATAAGGTGTCAACTATTTACGTCTGCTAATTATAGCTTTTTTGACGATCGTCATATTTTTGAGAGGTCGGATTAAATGTAATTATGACGTAGTTAGGTGATTTCAGGGAAGAGAAATTTTTTTTGGGTGACCCAGAATTTATGAAAACTGCTGTAAAACCGGTTCCCGATCTCTAGTTAGTATAAGTCTATTACAAATTTAAAAAAAAAAATTGGATGTCATAAAGATCGTAAATTGAATTTAATGAATTTTTATTGTTAATTTTTCATTAAATAAACTAAATCAATTGAATGATCTATTATTTTATTAAGTACTTTCTTTGTTCGGTCACTACTACCTTTGGATATATTCAATTAAACAACACTATTTATAGATACTCAAGTTTTATGAGTAATGCCAAGTGAAAACCTTAAAGTCTTACTAAACTTAACCTGATAGAAGATATTTATATATGCAATGACTCATTAACGCGTTTAACCCAAATCCTTTTTTATAACTTCCACCAAAGAATGTTTTCCTACCTAACATCAACACTATTTTTGTTAATATATAATGGAATATTTTATTCACTACATACTCGTATAATAACTATAATTAAATTAGATCTATCAGTCAGTTATTTAAAGACAATAATAAAGGAGAGAATAAGATAGGTTTCGTGATGAAGAGGTTACGATAGCAATACTGGAGGTCTAAATCAAGAGTTTGAAATCCCAATACTAAAGAACATAAAGAACAATATCACTCAGTCGGATAGGAATATTATATAAACATTTCAGATAAGATCTTTACTATTGACTTGGACGGCCAATCATATAAAAGCCTTAAATTAAAACCTTGCCTAATGGCATTTACATTTCATTCGATGTCCACGAATATTACGAAAATTATATTTTAATTCCATTAATTCCATAAATTAGAAACTTTGAAGCCTAACAAAAAATAACAAAGTTTAAATATATTATCTTTTTTTTTTTTGTTTAAATATATGGGCTTGGTGCTACAGAAAAGGGGGAAATTGACAAAAAAAAAGATCTTCGGAAAATCAATTTTATGCTATAAATTTTATAATAAATCATAGGAAAATACAAATTTCAAAAAGCTATTGTACAAGATTTTATTAAGACAACTGCTTTTATGCTTTAAGTGAAAAATAATTATGATCTTATTTTAAATTGATTTATCCAAAAAAATAGGTTTTAAAAAATTTGTTGATTTTCCCCTTTTCTGTGGCAGCCCATATGAATAATAGAATTCATTTTAAGCTACAGACTTCATGTTAATACACATGTATAAAATACTTATTCGAACAAAAAAGTTGTAATGAATGTTCTTATTTTGACTTCTCTTAATTATTTCGACTTTTGTATTCATGATTTCGATAATTTAACGTTAAACTTTCTTTAAGTGTCATTGAAGCTAATTATTTTCATCTAGCATGAATTTCTTTTCGCATTTAAGAGGAATAAACTTTTTTAATTTATTTCATGTATTATAATTATATAAAAGACTTTTATCATAATTCGTATTCTCAACACAAAGGCTTTATTTAACCTATAACTTTATATTTAAATATAGAATACACGTAGTGTTAGGACGAATATATTTATTTCTAGAAATTGCTGTTCCAGCGGCAAATTAAATAAAACAACAATCCCAAAATTTTAATCAAAATAGATAGTATTTTAAACTTTTGTCAAACTATAATAGAGGTTTCAGAATTAACGAAAAATAGCGTATTTCGAAAATAAATAGGAGTTTAAAAAAAAAAAAATCAAATATAATAATTGTTAAAATAGTTTAAAAGATAATTTATTGTAAAAATAATTATATAAATAATAGTTGACAAAAAATGAAATTAGATTTTTAAATAGTTAATTCAAAAAAAAGTAACTTATTTCAATTGAAATTAGATAAATTAATTTGAAATCCCCAATGTAATGAACTAGCTTTTTCGTTATACTTAAAAAAATTTCCTATGAAATATTAATATAAACAATTCCTAATCCTGATCGAAATATTCATTAGGGAATGGTTTATTTACAGCTGTTTTCAAAAAGGTGTGAAAATGATTTCCATATACCTTTATGTGAATTCCATATACCTTAGTGTGAAATCGAAGAATTTGAAAATTCTGATTAGGAAAAATTCAAGATCCAAATAGAGTTGGTTTTTAAAACACTAGAAATCTGGAAAATATCGTCAATTTCCCGTAATATGGTGATATATGTTCACATCTTTTTGAAAACATCTATAAATTGACAGGAACTTGTTTTTGGATAATTGTCTTTCGTTATAGCATCACATATTCTTTAGCATTTATTTCAATCATCCCTTCTTCTAAATAGGCAACTCAAGATCATAAAGAGTAGTATCTACATATAAAAAGGTTAAAAAATTTACGCTTAATCTAACATAAAATAAAATGGTATGAATACCTGCTATGTCAAGTAAGCCACTCTCTGAACTAACTCGTTGTGAAATTTCTCTCGTATTAATAAATTTACTTGTGTATATGACATCATCGTGTTCATGCAGAGCTATTGATAATTCAGGAATCATCATATCAGCCTCTCTAAATTCTTTAATTGTTTTTAATTTTTCATCAAATTCATCACCGTTTTCAATGTCACCAGATTCATCAGATTCTCCAAGTTCATCAATATCTTCTTCAAATTCATTTTGTTGACATATATGGTTATACCATTCGAAAAGTTTGTCAAGAATAGTTTCAGCAGTGGGTCACTTTTGTGAATCTGAATGCATGCATAATTTTGCTAATTCGATATAACACTTAGGAGTTTCGGATGCAAAGCCAGGTCTTAATCCATTACATATTCCTAATGCAAGTTCAATATCAAATAATCGACCATAAAACGGAGGTATTCCAGTAGTTATCTCTGCCATAATAACACCAAAACTGTAAATATCACTTGATTGTGTATATTGTTGACCTAATAAAATTTCAGGGGCAAGATAAGACATAACACCAAATATTCCTTTTTTTAAAGTTAATTCCTTATTCTTTCGAGATAACCCTAAATCTGCAATATAAGATTTTAATGGACTAATACTTTTATGCTGTAGAATATTACCACAGTGAAGATCACAATGAATGTATCCAGCTTTGTGAATTTTAATTAAGTCATTTAATATATCAATTAATAAAAATAATTTATCTTCCCAAAAGAGTTCTTGAAAATTTAACGTTAGATATTTATGAAGGTTTCCTTCATTGGCATATTGAAGTACCATCATATATTCTTTTGTTTCTATATTTTGAGTTAGTCCATATACTGCAAGTCCACTGCCACTTAATCTGCAATTCATATGATTTTCAAACTAAAAAAATTTATGCAAACTTGATTTATTGACATAATTAAAAATAAATAATTACTTATAGTTTAACTTACTTCTTTTAAAAAATCATTGGAATTCGCGTGAGATCCTGGTAATGTTTTGAGCGCAACTTTGATAAATTTTTCATTTGAACGTTGATATTGATTTTCAATTGTTTGTTCCCAGTTAGCCGAAAATACTGTGCCGAATCCACCTTTACCAATCATTTCTATGTTATTTAGCTTATTAAAAGGAATCCATTCAACTGCTTTTTTATGTTCAGTAGCATTAAATTGGAAATTTTTAATACAATCATCTATATCCTTATTCCCGCTTGTCCACTTTTGAGCTATTACATAAGGATCGCATGACTGGCACCAGTTTTTTGAAGTGTTAAACCGATTACATTTTATGCATTTACCATAACAATAATATCGTTTAGAGGCAAATTCGTCATTATCCTCATTATTAATTATACTTTTGGATACCATCATATATTCATCATTTTCTGGACGATGTGTTATTCCATATATTTTAAATGCATTATTTTCTATTTGCATTTGTTTTTTAAACTTGCAAAAGAAATATAAATTTTATTAATATAATTTATTTATATTAAAAACTATTAAAAAATTTTGCTTACTTCTTTTAAAAAATCTAATGAATTCTGAGAGCCAGGTAAAATATTAAGTTCAACTCTATATGAGGGTATACGTGATTTTGAATATTTTCCGTCTTGATCTAAAATTGATCGTATGCCATCTAACCAGATTGCTGAAAATACTGAACCAAATCCACCTTTACTAATTATTTTAATATTACCTAATCTATTAAAAGGAATCCATTCAAGCACATCCTCATATTTTGTAGACTTCAATTGGAATTCTTTGATATAATCATCAATATATTTATTTCCACTTGTCCACCTTTGAATTGTTATATAAGGATCGCATGATTGACACCAAGCTTCTGATGTATTATATTGATTACAACATGCGCATGCCCCATACTTTTCTTCTCTTTCATAATTAAATACCAACATATATTTATTAGTTATTATGCTTTGAGTTAATCCGAATGTTTCTAGTTTGCTATCATTTGATTGCAAATGCTTCTTAAACTTGCAATATATGCATAATTTACATAAATAAATATTAATTTAAGCAATATAAGTTATATAATAAAATATTAAATTATATACCTCTTTTAAAAAATCTAAAGAATACTGTGAACCAGGATAAATCTTAAGCACAACTGTATATGTTTCCGTACGTGACTTTGTGTATTCTCCATATTGACCTGAAATTATTCGTTTACCATCTAACCAGGTTGCTAAAAATGTTGAATTATGTTTATTATCACCAATACTTTGAATATTATTTAATCTGTTAAAAGGAATCCATTCAATTGTTTTTTGATATTTAGTAGATTTAAATTGAAGCTCTCTAATACAATTATCAATATCTTTATTTCCACTTTTCCATCTTTGAATTGTTCTACAAGGATCGCATGATTGGCACCAGGCTTCTGATGTATTATATTGGTTACAATGTGTACATACTCCATATTTAAAATTTCTTTCATAAATTTTATTAAATACCAACATATATTCATTAGTTATTTTGCTTCGAGTTAATCCAAATATTTCTAGTTTGCTATCATCTGATTGCTTCTTAAACTTGTAATATATGCATAATTTACATAAATAAATATTAATTTAAGCAATATAAGTTATATAATAAAATAATAAATTATCATACCTCTCTTAAAAAATCTAAAGAATCCTGTGAACCAGGATAAATCTTAAGCATAACTGTATATGTTGCCGTACGAGATTTTGTGCCTCCATATGAAATTATTCGTTTACCATCTAACCAGGTTGCTAAAAATGTTGACCCAAATTCAGTATCGCCAATACTTTGAATATTATTTAATCTGTTAAAAGGAATCCATTCAATCGTTTTCTCATATTTAGTAGATTTAAATTGAAATTCTTTTATACAATCGTCAATATCTAAATTTCCACTTGTCCACCCTTGAATTTCTCTATAAGGATCGCATGATTGGCACCATGCTCTTGATGTATTATAATAGTTACAACCTGTACACATTCCATACAGTATATTTCTTTCGAATTTATTAAATACTAACATATATTCGTTAGTTGTTGTGTTTTGAGTTAATCCGTATACTTCAAGTTGGTTATCTGATTGCAAGTAATTCTTAAACTTAAATATATATAATTTGTGTAAGCATTAATTTACGAATATAATAAAAAAACTACATCAATTTGCTATTTCCACCATATGGCCGGAATTAGAATTAGGGTTAGGGTGAGTAACATTGGTCATTGTTGTTATTTTATATGATTATCATGGTGTAAATAGCAAATTAACATGGTGGAAATAGTAATTCCCTATAATAATAATAATGATTAGCTTACTTTTAAAAAATCTAAAGATTCCTGTGAGCCAATAAAAACCCTAAGAATAACTTTATATGTTGGCGTACGTGATTTTATGTATCCTCCATACTGACCTGAAATTATTCGTTTACCATCTAACCAGGTTGCCAAAAATGTTGAATTATGTTTATTATCACCAATACTTTGAATATTATTTAATCTGCTAAAAGGAATCCATTCAATTGTTTTCTCGTATTTAGTAGATTTAAATTGAAATTCTTTTATACAATCGTCAATATCTAAATTTCCACTTGTCCATACTTGAGTTGTTCTATAAGGATCGCATGATTGGCACCAGGCTTTTGACGTATTATATAAGTTACAATGTGTACATTTTCCATACTGTTCTTTTCTTAAATAATTAAATACCAGCATATATTCATTATTTGTTGCGTTTTGAGTTAATCCATATACTTCAAGTTTGCTATTATCAGAGTTCAAATGGTTTTTGAGCTAATAAAAAATGTATATAATTCATATAAGTATCAATTTGTGTCAAAACATATTTAATAAATAAATTAGCATACTTCTAAAAAATCTAAAGATTCCTGTGAGCCAATAAAAACCTTAAGAATAACTGTATATGTCGGCGTACGTGACTTAGTGTATTTTCCATATTTCCGTGAAATTATTCGTTTACCATCTAACCAGGTTGCCAAAAATGTTGAATTATCACCAATACTTTGAATATTATTTAATCTGTAAAAAGGAATCCATTCAATAACTTTCTCATATTTTGTAGATTTAAATTGAAATTCTCTAATACAATTATCTATATCTAAATTTCCACTTGTCCACCCTTGAGTTGTTCTATAAGGATCGCATGATTGGCACCAGGCTTTTGACGTATTATATAAGTTACAATATGCACATTTTCCATACAGATACTTTCTTTTATAATCAAAGAACGACGGATATAGCAAATGTTTATTCCTAAGATGCTTTTCATGGTTAGAAGTAGATCTGCGCCATTGATATTTCTTCGTGCATCCAGGAATCGTACATTTTTTTTCTGTTCCAATCTCCTTTGGAACTTCGAATGGTTCAAAATATTTCCAACAAATGCTTTCCTTATCATTCTTTTCGGAACGTTGGCGTTTTGATTGTTGAACTTCACTATTTATAACAAATGATATGTTATTTTCGTTAGAGTCGGAAATTTGAAATAAATCTTGATTTCTTTTATGCCTGCTCATTGTACAAGTTGTTAAATATAAAAGACAAATGGTAAAAGATACCGGTAATAAATTGATTTGTAGCAAATAACTGTGGCGTAGATCAAACCTTAATATTATGACGTAAATATGTATAAATATAGATTACTTTATTAAGAAAGTAATTTACATGTGACGGAGTCGATACTTCCGATTTACCAAATAAAAGAAAACAAGAATTTATCAGATTTACACACTTGTCCGAAAATTGTAATGTACGCAAAATAATAATTATAATAAAAAAAAGCAATCGTTTTAATTTTTTTTTTCATACTACACCAGAAAATCTTTATTTTATTGTTTCAGGGGGGGGGGATTAAAATCTAAAATTTATATATATATATTTTTGTAATATTATTATTATTAACAATTGGGTGTAAGTTTTTTCATTAAAAATTGTATTACATATTTAGATTTTTTTTATTATAATAAAAAAAAAAGTTATATTCTTATATATAAGATATGGCTATTACAAACAAAATCATACCTAATCTTGGCTATGAAATCGAAGATGACAAATATCATACTTGGCAAATTACTAATTGGCGAAGTTTAGGACAGATCCTGAGTTTGAGGCAGGGGGTTGGAAATAGTGTGTTATCCTGCATTATCATTAACATTTTTTTTTTTTTAGAAAAAGATCAAGTGATCAAATTATTTCTAAAAAATAATTTTTTTTTTCAGGCATATTTTACTTTTTCCTTTTGGAAATAATAATTCAGATGTTATTTTAATTTATCTCGAGTTTGCTGATGCTGTAAAAGTATTCTCTGGTTGGCATTGTTATTTACAACTTTCTTTAATATTATAGAATCCAGAAGAACTAACCCAATATTTTGGTTATTATATGTAAAAAACCACTAAATTTAGAAATTATAATTATAGCAGACAATAGTGAAAAAAAGGTAACATGATTTATTCATAGACACATGCTATCAGCCTACTATAGAATCAGAATCAGATTAGGAATTTACTCGATTTTATCTATAATATAGACTATTCGTATCATCATCAAGTAGAACTAGACTATTGATTAAAAATAATAGATGTAATCAGTGTAGGAAATCTAATGTTCTCATGTTCTCAAGAGAACATATTTTTGGATTTGAGAACATTTGTTACTTTGAATATGTTCTCTATAAAAAAAATTTTGAGAACATATTGCTTGATAAATATGTTCTCTATATAGTATAATATGAATGAAGTTAATGATTAGAAAATAAGTAAAATCTAAAAAATTCCAAAAAGAAAATGAACAAACTAAAAGATGAGCAAGTTTGAGACAAAATTTGAAAATTTTCAAAAAATGACAACAGAAATTTTTAGTATTGAGAACATAAAAATATTTTTGAGAACATTAAATTAAATAATTGTGTTCTCATGAGAACATAAATTTGAAAACAGATTTCCAACACTGGATGTAATATCACAGTATTTGTTCGAATTTCAAAGAAACCAATAGATTTCTAATTAGATAATTTTGTAGAATATTTTATTTCAAATCCTTCTAGAAATTGATTAAAATTTTATAATTATAATTCTAAGAAAGAAACTAGTTATAGGTAGTGATGGGAAAAATGCGCATTTTATAATAACATGCGCATGAATGCGCATTAATGCGCATGAAACGTAAAATGCGCATGATACTGCATGATATAAATTCTCCTTTTTCTGTTTCATTTCAGAAAAAAATCGTTATGTTTCTCGAATTTCGGTCACGACCTTGCTCGTCTTAGAGGTTCATTCATTTTCTTTTCGGAAATTTTCATAATTTTTGAAATTCCTATCCTCTAATTCCGCCTGGCATTATGCTCTCTGGCCTAAATTACGCAGCCTAACCAAACATATATAAATTCTTGATGGCAAAAATGCGCATGAAACGGAAAAATGCGCATGAATGTGCATGAATGCGCATTCATGCGCATGTTTCAGGTATCATGCGCACGCATGATACCCATCTCTAGTTATAGGCTGGTGCAAAAATGTAGATACACCAAAATGCTTATAATAAAAAATTTTTTCTTAAAAATTAACATAAATATTTAAATTTTTTAATTTATTATTCTGCTTTTAAAATTTATTTTAATTAAAATTTTAAATTTTTACAAAAAAATTTATTAAGGAACGATTTTCTCAATTTCAAGATCATCAATATCACTTTCAACCAAAGCAATATTATCATTTAAGTCTCAATATTCCTTCACTCTGGTAAGTGTTTTTCTCCAAAGTCCTATAATAGTTTTAGAACTAATCTTCTCTTTAAATGCCTCTAGTAATTTGTTTCTAATGGTAATGAGGTTAGGATATAGGCCGGTTCTAGAAACCTTTTTCTTTACAACTGCCCAAATCCCTTCTATCAGTTGAAGCTCACAGTGATACGGAAAAGTAAAAAACAAATTATACCCATACTTATTAGCGATTTGAACACAGGTAAATAGTATTTTTGCTTTGTTTTTTTTTTTTACTAATTCATATAGCTCAGCCTTACTAGAACCTTCTAGGACAACAATACATGATTAACTCTAACCACACAGATAACACATCCTTTCTTGAATTTGATGTTAGCACTTGTTCAACCTGATGTTTATGATAATGAGCTCCATCTATATGAATATCTACTGGCCTATATAAATCTTTAATGCTTGCACAAAGTTTGTCAAAAAGATCTTCAAAAATATCAGCTGTAAAATTGCTATAGTAGTTAATTTGATCAGCTACAATGTTAGCATTGCGGATTGCATCAGGAATATTTTTTCACTCATCTGTATTTAATCTTTTTCTTCCTTTTGTAGAGGGTGGTTTAATTGATGGATCCCATATTAAAAGAAAGTTAGGAACAATTTCGCTATTTATTTTATTCTATTACAATTGCGCATTATAATAATTGCTCTGAATATGACTAATAAAGGACTATGCCATGGTGAACAATCTCATAGTGTGGTACCTATATACGGTTTGTTGTATAATGTAAATGACAATATGATTCATCTAAAAAAACTTCCAGTCTAACTGGAACATCATTTTTGCCTTGCAAATTATTGAACTGCTATCTTAAATAATAGCTTCAAAAAGCTACATTTTCAGCTGATTCATATAATATATTTTAATATTCACCATAGCTATAAAAATATTCCAAAACATACAAAATATGAAGTAACTGCTATTTTAAAAGTTTATAGCCTTTTTCTTCAAGTTTTTGCTATAATACAGGTGTTGAAAATAGAGTGCCAGAGGCATTCGCAAGTATAACTAGGCTATATATAACTTCTGCAATATTAGAATCAAGTTCACTTTTCGGTTGACTGGACGATTTATGTGCTATAGATTCTTTATTTTCTTTTTTGTTTAACTTAGCAACTACTTATGCAACTATAGACTCACTAATCGCCAAAACTGTAGCAACAAGCTTGCAAAGTAGCATGTCTTCTTATTGCTTCTGATATTGTCGAAGTTCCAAAAAGTATTGGTGGGTGTTAATAATCATCTTTCGTTCATTGAAAGTTAATAGACCTTTATCTCTTTTCAAGTCATTCATTTTGTAAAAAAAAAAGCCAAGGTTTGTAAATAAATTTAAAGTTTATATATCACTCTTACCTTTTTTGTAATTTGTATTTCCACATGACTTAAT